AGATGATGGTTTTGAGCAAGATGATTATTATAATGACCAAGAGGAAAAAGTGCAATATATGAACAATTTTCAAGGGCAAAGAAACAACTTCCAAGACCCAAGCTAACAACAATAGCAGCCACAAAACAATCATGACAATTGGAATTATAACAATCAAGGGAATTGGCATAACAAAAATAATCAAGGAAATTGCAGTGNGAAATTGCAGTAGAAACAATCAAGGAAGTTGGGGTGGCAACAATCAAGGTGGATGGAGTAACAATCAAGGCAACCAGGGGTCGGTCTTTCAAAGGACCTTGATGTACCAACAACTGAGCAACCCACCTCCTTATCCTTCCCATGGTTCAAGTTCTTCAAACAATAAGATGAGACGTATTAAAAGCATGTTCAAGCAAATGATGGAAAAGAATGCCGATTCGGATGCCCAACTTTCCTCCCACAATACATCAATCCAAAACCTAGATGTTCAAATGGGGCAAATCTCTTAAGCTCTAATTCTCATCCTAATATGGCACTACCAAGTAATATGGTGGTAAACCCAAAGGGAGATAAATAGTAGGAACTTCGTATAGACGCGCCAAGAAAAGAAAGAAGAAACTAAATATTAGCAATGAAAAAAGGGGTGGAGATAACATAAAATTATGAGACATAATTTCATGTGAATACTTTTAAAAGGTGATGATCCATTGCTTAGTCCATTTAGTCCATTTCTATTTGCCTATTTATTGATTCTGCCTGTTTCGTTCATTGACACCAAATAAAACTTAATACGNTTCTGCGTGTTTTAACCCGTTCATTTGATACCAAATAAAACCTAATACAGAGCTTGTAAAGAGAATCTAAACATTAGGTAGCAATAGTATAATATTTCAGATGATCACTATACATATATACCCCAATTTTTGTGTTGTTTCAGGATTGAATTTATGTATCCAAGGCACTTATCATCATTGCAATGGAAAATCAAAGCAGCTGCAGTAGTGGCTGGTGAGTTGAAAAGTGATCCGTTCTTCTTTTGATAAGTCATCAACTCTTCCCATTGACATAATTTGCCAAGGCCTTCGGCATAGTAATATGCAGGGTTGGTTTTACACTCCCTCAGATCATTCCTGGGTTCAAATTAGCAAAAGACTTTATATGGGTATAATTGATATTTTTTCATCCCATAAATGGTACTTACTAGTAACCTTTATTTTAAGGGTATATACCTTTCCCTTTAATTTTTTAAAAACATACCTTTCCATTGCTGAATCTTGTTTCTGGAACAAGACATTTACGAGGCTTTGGTCCAAAGGCACATTCAAGTTCAGTTCCCCTGCATACTTGATCATGCTAGGAAATATAATATCGAATCCTGCCGCTGAAATTTGACCCTTATTATCAATTGACCAACTCTGTCTTCCTATATAATCCAGTCCTGAAAATGGAAGAATAATAGTAAATCATAAGCAATTGATTTGGTTGTTTCTTTTAGGTTGTCTTTAGCTATTTATTACTATTATTTTATTTTTTAAAAATAGACTAAAGGGAAAGTAGTACTAACTTGACAGGGAGCGGTCCCCGATACTTTTCTTTCATTTCTTCTAGTTCATGAGAGAGCTCAGA